GATTGAACAACATCAAGAAAACTAAGATTCTCACCACTGGGCTGATTGGAGCATCATGATAGATGGTGAAGAGCTTGAGATTGTTGACAGCTTCAGGTTGCTTGGCTCTACAATCAACATTCTTGGCAGCCAGGAAATTAAAAGGCAAATTTCTCTGGGGACAGTCTGCTGTCAGAGACCTTTCCAAAGTACTGAAGAGCAACGATGTCAGTCTGGAGACTAAGGTGTGCCTGATATTTTTCAAACAAAGGCTATGTAGCATAGTGGATTTGGGTGGAGGGATTGTATAACAATGAAAGAATTTTTCCTTTACTTTTCAAAGAGAAGAACGAACTGGGGGAAAGGTTGGGCAGGGAGAAAAGTGCAACAATGAATGAATGAATGGAAATCCAACGTTTCTGTAAATTTTCATTAAACTTAATTGAAAAAAAGAAAGAAAGAAAGAAAAAGCAAACACACACACACACACACACACACACGAGCCCTGGTGGCATACTTCATGACATTGTGCTGCAAAACAAAAGGCAAGTAGTTTGCCTCTTCCAACTGCTCATCAGGAGAGAGATGACCAGTCTTCTCTTATAAAGATTACAGCCTCAGAAACCTGATAGAGCATCTCTGTGACTTGGACTCCACGGGACTAAGTTTTAATCCTCACAGGAGCACTCTGCCTCATCTCTTCACTGGCTTGAGTTTTCTGATGTGTTATAAAAATAAATATGTGCTCTGCCCAAAACTCTTTAAGGTCCCAGGCCTTGAATGGCCAGCTGTGTTGCATTGTGGCCAGTTTACTCTCCTGCTTCCTACGTCACACTCTGTTACATACAGTCTTCAGAAAACTACATTTTCTAAAAGTGAAAGACCTTCAATATTGCTGCAAAATATTATGCTAATATTTATAAAAAATTTTAAGATGTATGAGATGACATGACTGAGTTCAGAGAATGCCTACCACATGCCATAGCTTTTTTCCTTGAGCTTGGGACCTCGTGGAAAATTGGACATCTGGGGTGAAGTTCAGTTTCTCAAGAAATATTTGCCTTAGTAAAGACACTCATCTCTCTGTGTATCATCTCTTCATCAATTAAATTATAATGACAATTTCAGACTCACTTGACTGTTTCATCAAATATCTGGAAAAAAGCAAAGCAGTGAAAAATATTAACATGCTCAAAAACTTTCACCAACAGGGAAAGAAATATGTAGCAACAGCTGCTTTCAAACTAATCCAGAGTGCATCTTCCAAGCATTTTATTTTTTTTACTGGCAATAATTCAACTTAGAAGTTTCTTGAAAAAAGTATATCTATGAATTACTCTTTCCTCTGGATTATCTGTATTTTTTAACATAAACCTACTAGTTTTGCATTTGACTCCTGAACTGCAAAAGTAACTGGCATGTTCATGTTCAACTGTGCATAAATGTGTATCATGGTACATGTTCAACTGGCAAACAGAAGGTGGTTTGTACCCACCCAGCAGCACCATAGAAGAAATAGGCTAGTAATGGGCTTCTGTGAAAACTAGAGCAGAGAAAATTCCATGAAACAGTTCTGCTCTTTAACACACAGGGTCTTCTAAGTTACAGAGCAATAACAAAACCTAACTCAACAACAAATCCTGCACTGCATCAGGTTTGCTAAAGTCTTATCTAATGGACTGTGAATTCCCAAAGGTCAGAAATGGTGTCCTCTGTTTCATAGCCTCTACTCCAGTGGCCTACTGGTAAGAACTTGCACTGCCAACCTAAAGACAAGTGGTTTAAATCCACCAACGGTTTTGTGGAAGAAAGACGGACAATTGCTGTCTCTGTGGTTTACAATCTCTGAAAATCTGCTGAAGGGTCAGCTATGAGTCAATTCTTTCTGATTTGATATTACATAGTAAAAACAAAACTAGCATGGAGTCTGTTCTTTTGAAAGCAGCAAGAATATTGGGCTGAATTTTTTTTTATATTTCTATTTTAGATCACTTCTGGATTTGTTTTAAAAGAAGGAAATAGTGCATTTTTCTTCCTACCCATCGTTCAACAAGAATTACAGATCCATAACAGATAGTGGAAACCCAGTCTAAATAATAAGCATGCATGTTTTCCAGTCAAATGTAGTGAAGAGACAAGACCGGTGAATAGATAATTCAAACATAAATTCAAAACAACTGTGTTAGCAATAAAACAAAGTACCATAGGATCACAAAGAAATGTCTCAACTACTAAAAAAGTAATATTTGGAGATCTTTTCTTTCTAGGATTTACTTCTCTTTGAATTGAAACCCAGTGAAGCAGAGGAGGATAGACAGTTCATAGACTCAGGAACTATCTAAATAACTGTCAAATATCCAGCCAAATAGTTAAAAGTTGTATAACTTATGTGATTGAAAAAAATGACACCAAATTATATTTTCTTGAAAATATGATGAATTGGTAAGATATTCACATCCACATTTTCCATTTTGTTTTCTTCAGTTATTATTTTAATAGAACGTTTACTGTGATTTGGGTGGGAGTCTCCATCCTAATATTAAAATCTTGTGAAAATCTCTGGAGAGCCCAAGAAATGGTTAAAGAACACAAATATCTAGCTCAATCAGGAAACCATTCAGTTCATCTTCTGTAACTTTGCTATGTTTCAACCTTCACAAGGAAAGCATTTTTTAATGACAGTCTTGATTTTAAAACCAAGTTACTTTAAAAATAATATTAAGTTGTAACGGCAATGAAAAAAATGAGTGACCTCTCTTTTGCTGGAAAACAGCTTTTGAGCAGATTCCACTCTAGGTCACCAGAAGATGAGACATGAGCTAATTATGACATGTTGTCCTTGGCAAACAATGACAGAAATTAGTATTGTGAGTGTCCTCTCAGAACTGAACAATTGCTGGTGCTTTCTCCCCCTTGAAATTATCAAGGTGAGATCAGTCTTTATTATTCAGAATCAGAACCGAAAGCCTACATAACAGCTATTTGGACATTAGAACTATAAACATTAAACCAACAATTAGCACAGAGAGCTTATTATTCTCATGCTATGTGGGGTGCTAAGTGACCAGATGGGCATTTAATTTAAACTTTATCACAAGTTATAATCATATTGAAGAAATGTCGCACATAACAGTGCTTGTGTATTAAAGGCTTATAAGTAGAGAAACATCACTTATTGTTGTTGTTATGTGCCAAGACTCAGAACCAGGTCAGAGCTGACCTTCCGGCACGTTTTCAGAGGCTGTAACTCACATAGGAGGAGGTTGCCCATGTTTCATGTTTGAAGCAGCTGGTAAATTCCAATTACCTGCCTCTGGATTGGCAGCATGACTCCCTCCTTAGCCACCAGGTCAACATGTAGAGAAATACAATTTTTTATGATAAATAAACTAAAGTAGTTGTAGGGAGTTCTGGTGGTCTAGTGTTAAGGAGCTGCCCTGTCAATCTTCAAGCACATGGTTCAAATTCACCATCTTCTTCACAGGAGAAAAATGGGCAATCTCCTCCCATGCAATTTACTGCCTCTGAAAACTGGCTAGAAGATCAGCTATGGGTCAGTTTCAACTCAATGGTATAAACAAACAATAACAACAAGTGTAGTGTAGTGGAAATTACGGGTATCCTAGTAAATAGCAGGATCCTTGCCAAATACAAAGAACATTAATTTATTTTTTCATTTGAATAAAACACGTTTCCACCAAAGGCTAACTTTTCCTGTCCTGACAACTGAAGATATGATAAGCTCCGTTTTCTGCTTCCACTGCCCTTCTCCCACCACTCACAGTTGTGCCAATTGTTGAAACCAATTCATAGCTAATTTTGGAATTTCCAAGGCTAGAAATTGTGCAGAAAGAGATGTCCCATTTTCCTACCTTGAAGTCACTGGTGGATTCAAACCAAAAGAGAAGCTTAGACGTTCATTTACCAGCACAACTCCCTACAGAATAAGCTACCAGAGTTGCCTGCTTCCCTCTTCAAAGGAGATCAGATTGAAACATGTATTACCAATAATATGCTTGAGATCAAACTCAAATGTGGAGTTACTTTAAGTAGAGGACCCTCGTTATAGAAACGGAATGATAGTTGGGCTGTTGCCTCCTGCATTCCATACGTGAGGTCTGGTGGTTTAAGGGCAAGATGTTACAGTGCAATCTTGAAGACATTTGTTTCAAGGCCTCATGCAGCTCTGCAGGAGAAGGATGGGCAATCTCTTCCTGTGCAATTAACTACCTCTTAAAACCTGCCGGAGGGTCAGCTGTAGGGTGGCCCCTACTCTACAACAACACAAATACAACACATTCCATAAGTGGAACTTGTTAGGAAGACAAGTTGAAGTAGATATTTGTTACTATTATATCAGTTGTCACTTGTAACTCATATATAGAAAACCATTAACATTTAAAACCAAAAAGTGATGAATATAGATTCCATCTTCAGTGGATACTAGCCCAAATCTCTCCTATCATGCATACTATCAAAACGAAATACAGGTAAGCTAGAAATAGAACACAAAAGATATATTCTTTTCCCTCTGGAAGCTAGGATTTTTAAGCTCTGTATCTCATATTTGGGCACATGACCAGGAGGGACTGGGCCTTGGAGAAGGACATCAGGCTTGGAAGTGTAGAGGGACTGTGCAAGAAAGGAAGACCCCGCATGAGATGTATTGATACAGTTATCTGTGGCAATGGGGTAGGCTTGTAGTATTCAGTGCAGTGGGCTCAGGACAGGGCAGGCATCAGAGTTGTTGTACATATGGTCACTCTAAGTCACAAATGACTAAATATAACAACAGCACCAACAATATGTATTGAATTAACTATGAGGCTATTCTTAATAATAAATATTTATTAATTAGAGTATATAAATGAAAATGAATGACAGAAAAAAGGATATATAATATAAAATTTAATTCATGTAGCGTATTCCTGGAAGATTAATATAATCTAATGAGTCCGTGAACTGATAACAGGAAAGGAACAGGCTAACTGGCAGGAGGGCCAGGTGCCAGAAGGTCAAGGTCACGCAGTCATGGTCACTGCAGTGTTGGTGGATCGTTGGTCTCCTGTTGGGCTGGTCTGGAGCATGTTTCTTCTGCTTGTGGACTTCTTATCCATTTTTTCAACTGCAGCTTTTACCCAACTGGCTTCTGGGTCAGCACAGAATTTAAAGCCACGTTTGGTGACCAAGCTGTAATAGGCGGGAAAGAAAAGACACAAAAAAGTTAGGCACATTCCGGATGCTTTGGAACCAGGACATAAGTCAAGACTAGACATGAGAAGGTCTTGTGCAGAAATGACTAAAAGAAATCATCTCTCAGAATCACAAAACCACAAGTGGACACCATTTCTTCTGTCATGTATTTTAACATATAGGAGAAATGCCTTTCATTCATTACTATTCACAGATCCCTTTTCTCCTCAGCATTTCTTAACATTTTGACCACACTAGGAATCTAAGGTTGCCCAGTCATGGTATGGATTCCTTTCTTAATTGGTGTAATGAGTTAAGCACTCAGGTGCTAAAAGATTTGAAATTTGCACCCACCCAGAGGGACCTCTGGGGTGTGGGAGAAATGCTTGGTGATCACTCTACTTCTGAAAACTCAGCTACTGAAAATTCTGTGGAGCACAGTTCCGCAAGGCGCACCCATAGTTACCATGAGTCCAAATCAACTCAGCAGACACTGCTTGGTCAATTTTTCTAAATTTCCTTCCTTTTTTAACATAACAAATTCTTCTTTAGAACAAAGAAAGGTTATCAACATTTCTTTGGACAAAGCTTGCAGCTATATATTGAGGAGATCTAACACTTCTGAAAATGGGGTCCTAGGAGGATAATGGTTCCATGTAAGCTGGTTTTGATACTTTTCTCTGAAGTAAAGTAACTGACAGGCACAGTGTGGTACTCTCCGTTACCCCAGCTCTCAGCATCCCACACAAGTATGAAGTGTGGTCAAATCCTGACTTGACTTGTTCTCTAAACCTAGTCCTGAGATCCGAACATACGTATCCACTCTTCTGCTCAATTAAGTCTGAAAGAATAAATTTTTTTTTATTCAGTGGCCACATTTTTATATCTTGTTGTCCATGGCACAATATAAAGACAGGGTTAATATGGGGGGAGAAAAGGATGCGCTGGTTGGTTTTCCTTTATTTGATTTCTTTTTCCAAAGAAAAGAGTGTTTAAATATACTATGACCCATCACTCAGAGCTTTTGGTAGAAAAGAACTCACATCATGGCTCTCATGGGTCCCTCTTTGATAACATAGGTCTTGATTTTATTGACTGGTATCGGCCTGGTATGTAGAATCATACAGCTGTTCATATGTGGAACTTCACTCCCCACACCTGGTGAAGAAAACCAAACAGAGAAACAAAAATGAAGCTACAAATCAGCAACCAGCAAGTTTAAGGGAACAAAGGGAAACTATTCCCTGGTGGATTACTCTAAATTGTTGTCTTGTAAAGTTTATTCCAGGAAGAGATGACTCTAATTTTTATCCTCAATGTCTTGCATATCATGCATTGGTTAATTGGGATTTTTTAATTTATTTGTTTTATACCATCATTAACTTTTATATAACATTCATATCACATTATATATTATGATAAACATTTGACTTAGACAATTAAAACAGGATGTTTAAGAAAGTTTCAACCCATTCTGCTCTATCTCCATATATCCAGATATCCAGAACTATAAAGCTAGCAAACAGTCTAGCAATACTCACTCGTTCACTCAGCTATACTTGTTGAACGTTATAGCCCAGGAAATTTTTAAGGCACTAATAAAAACAAATATACCCTCTCTCACAGAGCATATCTTTGAACGTGAGAGTCAGGCAACAAATAGTTAAGATCATGTGAAATAGCTATAAGGATTATGTCTTTGAGCTATGGTGCTGGAGAAGAGCGTTGAATATACCATGGACTGCTAGGAGAACAAACAGGTTTGTCCTGGAGAGGGTGAAGCTGAAATGCTCCTTGGAGTCAAGGATTCTGAAGCTTCGTCTGACATACTTTGGACATGTTGCAAAGAGGGACTTGTCCTTGGAGAGGGACACCATGCTTGGCAGAGTGGAGCGGCGGAGGAGGAGAGGAAGACCCTCGATAAGATGGATCGATTCTGTGAGTGGAGTGGTGGGAATGAGTGTGTTTGAGCTGGCGAGGTTGGCACAGGATAGGATGGCATTCAGGGCTCTTGTGCATAGGGTCGCTATGAGTCACAAGCGACTCGATGGCACATAACAACAACAACAACATCAATAAGTGTTATTATGAAATAATTAAAATAGCATGAGTGATGTAATAAGCTCAGAGTGATTTGGGGCAAGCAGCATTAATTAAGGAGAAGGCAGTTTGTTTTTGATGGAATAAATAATAGATCCTTAATTTCCAGTGGCAAAATATGAGCCAAATAATCAAGTTATGAAGTATTCATCCCCAAGAATTAAACCTTTAAATTTAGAGTCCACTATTACACTGCAGAAGAGAAAAAAATAAATCAGGAGAGTCAATAATATTAAAGGTTTGGTAAAATCTAATCAGAATTCCTAAGTGCTGGTGTTTTCTGTCAGAGACACTGATCTATACTTCTTCGAGATACATTCAGCTAACAAATATCTTAGGTTACAAAGGATAATGATTTAATTTGATCTATAGCATTATTGACATCAGAAGGCACACACCAAAAGCTATGGTATTAAACAAAAAGTATTCACTGTCAATGCTTTCCTCAGTCCCTTCTCCTTGTCATCATTCTCAAGTAACAGTTTGGGCATATATAACACCTATCTCTACTGACCTGTCAACTTGCAAAGAAAACGGCTTTAAAGTTCTTTATAATTCATACAGCAATTTTGCACAACTTTTGTAAGCCCCAATGGAACTGGTAGGCTGTCATCACGTGGAGAGAACTTGGGCAAGTAAATCACACAAGTCTTCAGTTCTCCTGACCCTCTAACAAAGCATGACTGCTCCCCATCCCACTGCTGGACAACCCTGGCCTGGGTTCCCACCAAGCAGTAGTCTTAGTCAAATGCTGCCATGGAACAACATCCGGTCTAATTTAGTAATCTTAAGTGCTTTCATGTCATTAGCAATTTTTGTTTTGCTCACAATTTCAGGGAGTTCCATGCTTTACTAACTCTACTCTTAGACTCCTTTGAGGAGCCATGATCAGGCCACAATATCCTAGCATAAGAAATAAGTCTGTAAGTTAGGAAGTTGCAAGGACATATAACTGAAGCCTTGATTAGTCCAAAAGGACAGTATTTCATATTACCAGACTCAACAAAGGAGAAATAAAATTTTGGTGGCTTAGTGGTAAAGAATTGCACTGCCAACCCAAAGTTACATGGCTAGAATCCACTATTTCTCCATAGTAGAAACCTGGGCAATCCCCACTCATACTATTTATTCTCTCTGAAAACCTACTAGAAGGTCAGCTATGAGTTTTTCTGACCCAATAGTAGACAACAAGTGGGGAGAAGGGAAGTTCAGATGGCACAGTCCTTAGGAAGTTGTGCTGCTAGTACAGAGGTGGTGCCTCTCTGGTGAGTCAAATTCACCAGAAGCTCCAAGGGAAACGATGGTCCATCTCCTCCCATGCAATTTACAGCCTCTGAAAATCCAATGGAGGAAAAGTTGGGTATCAGCACCAGTTAGATGGCAGTGAGGTTTTGAGAGCAGGAAAAAGCCATCCTTAAAGATTTATGGGGGAAAGCCCGGGTGAGTCTCTGTGTGTCTGAGTCACCTGGTTCAGGCTTGCAGAGTTCTTCGACTTGGCCATGTGCAAGGTATGGATATATTTGCTAGCACTCATTTTCATAAAATAGTGAGGGAAACTCTATTGTTTAAATAAAATAGCATCAAGAAACTGTCTTTTTAAACAAAGATAATATAGAGTCAAGAAACATAGCATAAACAGTAACAACATTCTTGACAGTAATAATAGACTCCCCACGCATTTGAAGTTTATATTGATTTCCTAGACATGAAAATATGGGCTTCCACTGATTTCCCTGTTTTTGTTTTTTTTTTAATAGAAAGAATTAATTTGTTCTGCCCCTACACTTTAGCTCATCTCCACAATGTGGATGAACTCTCAAAACTCTTCAAAATTATCAAGATCAAGAGTAAATGTGCAAAAGTTTAAAAGATACATAATAATCGTTACCACCATTTCGTAGATAACAATCAAGAAACTAATATTTGCAAGGAAAGCTGATAAATGATGGTATAACTTCATTTTCATCTCAGATGAAAATATGCATTGCTATATTCGCTTTCTAGACAAGAAAGCCTAGGCACAGAGAAGTTGACAAATGTACCCCAAATCTTCAGAGTAAGAAAGATGAGAGATGGAGTTCTGAATTCTCCACGTTTGGGGAATGTACAGAGTTCCCTACAGTCAAAATCGTCTAATTTTGCTCATGAGAAGTCTGAGACCTGACTTAGGAAAGCCATTTACTCAACTGAAAATATCATGTGCCTATAGACCTTCCACTTCATCCCATAAGAAAAATTATTCACCTACCTTCCACGACGTAGGCAGTGAGGCAGCAGATGGCAAAGGAGGCCAGGATGAGAAGCTTCATGGCTGAGTCTGGCTGAGCTGAGCAAGTAACGAGTGAAGAACCAGCACCTCACAAGCCCCTTTTATCCGCCAAGGGTCAGTGTGCTTCCTGTGGTAAGAGGGGGCTTTCGGGGTGGGTGTGGAACTATGGAAAATCTTTGCAATACTAATGCTGCTTTTTTTCCCTTTGTCCCTACTCATGTTAACCCTACACCTTGTAGCCTTTTCCCCCTCCTGTGGTTAACGTGTCAACAAAACCAAGGGTGTGCATAAAAGCGAACGTGGTTGGCTCCTCTGCTGTGGTCTATATTCAGATCTTCCACTGCAGAGAAGCCCTGAGACCCTGCTAGAGTCATGGTTCAACGTGCAGCAGTCAAAACCCTGGTTCCAAATGGACAATGTCAAGGAAATGGGACTGAGTGGTCACTGTTGTCCAACTCTCCCACCCACCCACTCCATGCAGCATTCTCTGCGACATGAAGTTTCCACAGCTGGGGCCATGGGGCACCTATGGAGGCCAGGGGGCCTTCAAACCACCAGAACTTCTCATTTCTGTCTTTTCTTCCAACTTTTCTTCTCCAACTTCATTCAACTTGTCCCCACTCCTCTCAGTCACTCTCCTCAATTACCAAAAGAATATTTATAGAGTGCTTTGAGAAGGTCTACATATTTGCTTTACTGAAATTTAACGTACAGAGTTTTCTTCAAGCTTTTGTAAATTTCCCCTTGGCAACCATTTTTTATTTGGAAAACAGATAATAATCTTACTATTCTCACAATTATTATTTTGTATTTTTTTTCTAGTGAGTTTCTATTTGTATTCATGTGTTTACATAGTTACAACCCTCTTAAAGTACTAGTTTAACAACCATTTCATTATCTTCCCATCCTCTTCAAAATCCACATATTTCTACTTTAAGTAAATATATATATGTAGACTAGTCCATTATCTCATAATTTATTGTTGTACAGATAGACCTAATAGTGGAATTATACATGAATATATGCTGTTATATAATATAAAATACTTTAACAATCAAGAGGATTATCAAGTGAAATCATCTTTAGTTGTTTTGAAACGTTGTTGTTGTTGTTATGTGCCGTTGAGTTGCTTGCGACTCATAGCGACCCTATGTACAACAGCCCTAAACTCTGCTCTGTCCTGTGCCAATCACACTGTCTCTGATACACCCATCCCGAAACCCCAATCACTGAATCAATCCACCTCATAGAGGGCCTTCCCCTCCTGCGCTGTCCCTCCACCCTCCCAAGCATGATGTCGTTCTCTAAGGACCTGTCTCTCCTCACAACATGTCCAAAGTATGTTAGATGGAGCCTCAGAATCCTTCCCTCCAAGGAGCCACCCAGTTTAACCCTTTCCAGGACGAATCTGTTTGTTTTCCTAGCAGTCCATGGTACCCTCAATTCTCTTTTCCAGTACCAGAGCTCAAAGGCATCAATTCTCCTTCTATCCTCCTTGGTCATTGTCCAACTCTCTGATGCATAACAAGTGATTGCAAAGACCATGGCCTGTATCAGACGCACCTTAGTCTCCAGGGAGACACCATTGCTCTTCAGTACCCTGGAAAGGTCCTTGACAGCAGGCTTTCCCACGGCAATGCGCCTTTTAATTTCCTGGCTACTGGTGCCAAGAGTGTTGACTGTGGAACCAAGCAAACTAAAGCTGTGTACAATCTCAATCTCTTCACCATCCATCCTGATGCTGCCAATTGGTCCAATGGTATGTTATGAAACATAGTGCTGTATAAACCCAGAAATCAAACTCAACCGTTGTCTTTTGTTGATTCAGACTCACAGCACCCCTAAAGCTCAGGGTGGAACTGCACTATGGGGTTTGTTACTGTTGATGATTCCCGTCAAGTCGAGCACGACTTATAGCGACACTGTGAACAAAAGGCTTGAATCCTTTCTATAACTGTCAACATTTATCAAAGTTCATAGAGTTTCCAGAGGCATGTTGTTTAGGAAGTGGATACCACTCCTGCTTATAGATCTATAAATTTTTTCAAAAAACTCTATATTAGTTTTTATTCAAAATTCGTGTACATTGTATTCCATTCATGTACATTGTGTTTTACACATTCCTTCACTGGCATTGTGTTTCATACGATCATTTCCATACATTGTGGTAGTGGCGATGTCTTTTTTAAAACAAATTTAATTTTTTAAACAAAATTTTGTACTGGTTTGCTTAAAAAGGTCATTTATATTGTTTTTCACACCAGATCTTCCCCATTTCCTTTACCCTCCTATTCCTCTACCGATTAAATTGTGCAACCCTGTGATTTCCCCCTTGACTATCCTCAACCCTCTGCTCCTAATTCTCTCATCTTTGGATCCTCATACACGTTTCACTAATAATTATTCTATTTCTACAATAATGGTCTTACACAGTATTTGTCCTAATGGGACTGAGTTAATTCACTCAGTATAATGCACACTCTAGTCCCTCCCAAGTTAAGTTGTGATTTTAAAAATCAGTGCTCCTGTGTGCTTCACAGTATCCATCCAATCATATGGCTGTTCCATAATTTCTCAATCCATTCGATTGTAGTTGAACATTTGGGCTGTTTCCATTTTCCTGCAGTGGTGAATGGTGCTGTTAATTAGAACCAAGTTCTATAATTCTTAATGGAAGCAGACTGCAACATATTTTTCCTACAGAGTGTTTGGTGGGTTCAAATCATTGACTTTGGTCAGCAGGTAAATTCTGAATCAGTTTGGTGCCATGTATTATTGTCTCACTTGCTTGCTCATGCATTAACTCATAGCTAACCCTCCAGTGGTTTTCCAAGGCCATAAGTCACAGGAAAGAATAGTGCCCATCTTTTTCTAAAGAGAACTGAGAGTGAATTAGACCCACTAAAGAGGCTTAACACTGAGTATCAGTACGACTCCAGACTATGCTACTGGAGCACTCTCACTGCCGTATATTGTGGTGGTGGTGGTGTTGTGTGTAGTTGAGGCAAACCCAATCCATAACTTACCCTCTAGCAGATTTTCAGAGGCAGTGGATCACATGGAAGGAAATTGCCCATCCTTCTCCCATGGAGCAACTGGTGGGTTCAAACCGCTAACTTTTGCCTTAGCAACACAATCCCTTGTACCAGTAAGCTACCAGAGCTAGCTAGTCTTCCTAAAATGTAAATTCATTTGTTATTTTGTTTTCTTTTAAAAAAAATCTATAAACTGTATTTATCAAAATGTGTGAAGCTAAAGGGGTGGGGCTTTGGTTGCTATTAGAGAACTCTGGTGGCCTAGTTGCTGGAAGCAATGATACAAACCTGAAGGCACTTGGTTCAAGGCCACCAGCTGCTCCATGGGAGAAGGATGGACAATCTCCTCCTATGTTATTAACTGCCTCTGAAAACCCACTGGAGGGTCAGCTACGGATTGATTCCGACTCTACAGTACACAACAACAATTAGGGATATGAGAATAAATTCTTATATGTCCATGTAAATAATAATTCTCAAGAGAACTTTTGTTAATGGCATTTAATCTTCCAGCCAGACTTGATTCCTGAGTCTCAGAATGTCTTTTTCATTATCTCCATCTGGCTATAACATCAGCCCTTTAGCTCTTGCCACATCTTTCTATTCAAACAGCTTCTTCTCTTATGACTGCTTGATACATAACACCATCCCAACACTCAGCCGCCCACATGTCAGCCTCCACTCTGCCAAAGGGTTTTTCCGATTTGTGGACCAATTCAGTCCTACAACAATATATCAGCCAGGATGCTATCTCCCACTCAATTTCCAAATACAGATACTTTGGGGTCATCTTAAACTTGTTGCTATCTACCCATATGCTGTTCTCAACCAAGTCTTACTAAGTACACAAGCAGTCTTCAAACTACAAGCATCCAAATGATGCAAAAACTTATACTTGCCTTTTAATATCAGGTAAATTTTCTTTCACCCTGAACCAAGCCCTACTCACAGCAAATTCTTCCTCATGGTATTTTTCATGTGCTGTTTATGTAGTGTTTTAGGGGGATATTTTTTAATTTTTATTTTGCATTAACTTGCATACAAAACTCATATATATTGTATTTCACATTATCCTTCATTCACGTTGTGTTTCATACAATCATTCCCATTCATTATGTTTTATAAAATTAATCACCATTTAACAATGCCCACCATATTTCCAGATGTCTGCTGGATCTTTCTGATTTCCTTTAGTACATGTAGCTTTTAAATCATAAAAAAGGCTTGTAACCCTTTCTTACAATAATTTAAGGCTAAATAATAACCATATAGACTTGTATAACTTTCTTACATATTTGACTTTTGGACACTCACGGGAATAGATCTTGTTTGTGTCCTAGTGACTGTCAATACACAATGAAACAAAACACTGCTGGTCCCAGACCATCCTCACGGGTGTCACTGACTGAGACCATTGTTACTGTAATCACTGTGTCAATACATTTTGTTAAGGGTCTACCCCTTTCTCACTGACCTTCTGCTTGATCTATCATGATGTCCTTCTTTAGGGTCTGGTTTCTCCTAACAACATATCTAAAGTACATGGAACTCTTCTTGCCAGTCTAGCTTCTTATAAGCAATCTTTCCAGTAGGTCTTCCACACTCAACAAATCTCCTTTTAACCACCGTCACCGCTCAAAGTAGGCACTCATTTCATCTTCTTTTGGTGGGATTCTTGCAGTAGATCTCCTCTCTTTTTGATCTGTTCACAACATTGACAAGATAATCATTCTAAAGCCTTAATTTAATAATGTCATCCTTCTACTGAGAACCTCTTTGCTAACTTACATTGTCTACAAGATTTATTTCAAATCTCTCATTATTGTGTTATAAGGTTCCTCAAGAGCTAGTGCTCATTTTCTTCCCAGATTTATTTACCCTCCACCACTCACTCACATGATCCCAAACTCTAAGGAAGTTAATGAGTTATGCTTTCTAACATGACCAAAATGTGCTGTCTTTTTCAACCCTTCCTTTCCTCTCCACATGTTTTCTTTACCCGGAA